TACGCGGCTGGGCCTATTAACCGTGGGCTTAATAACCGGCGACTACTGCATTTGTCTCTCTGATTCTCGATGTGCGTATATACTTTCGCATACGCACATGTTTGTAAATTAAGCCTTCTTCAAAGGGATTACTTGAAGAGATGGTATTTTGTGGTTTTCAAAAAGTTTGAATTCCCAAATAATTTTGATTCTGACCTGCTGTTACACCTGAATTTACAGTCTACAAACTACAGGGCGCATATTTTGCATGGGAGGAAAATCATACTTTTTTATATGCTGTTAAGGGGAGGTCTTAAACGGCTCATAAAATTTTGCGGTGCATATGGAAATTGGTGCATACTTTATAATCAGCATTAATCATTGAACATATATGAGGCTTCGTGAATGGGCAACCTTACAAAATCCCATAGTTATGAACTTTTTTAAAACTAAGAACTACCCTCTCTTCTAGCACAAAATCAATATAAGACGTCATTTACCATAAACTGAGTACAAGAAAGTGTGGTTTCCATCAACTATATTTGAACTTGCAAAGGCATAGAAAATCAGTGAAAAACGTTCTGCTACTCAAGTGGTAATTCCTTTTACAGAGTTGGTTGTAGGCAGTTGGCTGGCGGAGGCTTGTTCAAAAGCCGGCCTCCAGATATGGCTAAAATAACTGTGGATCATGCTAAAGGATACTACTATTCAAAAATATTTACTAGTTGAAAACACATTTTAGAATTTCGGTAAAAATTTAATGAAATAGCACACCTGCTGTAATAGCTGATGAGGCTGTTGGGCTGTGGCGCGCTGCTGACTTTGTTTATAAAGATGAACATTGGTATTTTGACCTTAATGCATGATTGATTCCACAGGCATGCATTCTGGAATATATGCCAAGCTCTCACAAACACATGTCCCTCCATTTACTTTAGGAACTGTTCAAGCACTGAATTTCCCACTGATCAAAATCTCTTTGATTGATTATCGTTCCGATCGGAGCTCCTATAAGTAGAGAAATTTCAATAGTCGCTATCGGTGTATTCGGGGGGCAAATTTTAACTAAACACCTTTGCCACCGGCATGGAGTTAACCGCAAAATGCACGTAAAACTAGCCTAATCTCGTCTACTCTCAAGGGTCTTCATAGAATAACCACGCGATGCTTCAGTAGTAGTGCAAATTTACAAGCCCAATGCAATTTATACCTAGAGCATGGACGTGGAGACTTCTAATTGGAGGTTCAATAGT